CAAATATCTTTATTCAACATAGGAGTATTACAATCGCTTATTTTAGTCAAAATACTACCACCGGTTTGGAAAAGAAAGCCACTGTACTGAGAAGAACCGGCGAAATAAAATGTCGCGGGCCCTTTTTTTCATTTTTGACATACACGGTGTGACATGAATATATTATAAATACAATATAAAAACTGATTGAAAGAACCTTCAGCGATCAATTGAATATGACCATAATATAAATGTCTTATTTTGAAAAATTTTAAGCTGTCATGATAAATAATATAATATACATATAAAGATAAAACAATAATAAACTGATCACATAGCACCCATTTTTCAGCCCATAGATTTAAGGAATGATTTTAATTTCAAACTCTTTAAAAATGGACCACGAATTTGTAGCGACAACTAAAGTGAAAGACGACTCGAAATTATTTGTTATTATGTACTTAGTGTACTTTTATATTAATCATCTCCTGATGCTTTTGTTTATTATTTGATATTTTTCATTTTTTTTTTATGAGAGAAGTTGCCAAACGAGCAGACGGTTCACCTGATGGTAAGTGAATACCGCCGCCCATGGACATCTGCTACACCCGATGGTTACAGATGCGTTGACAACCTTTTGAAAATTGGGCTCCGGCTACCTCACTCACCACACGAAACGCGAAAGTATTTGTCAAACTTCCACTTTACGCTGGTCTTCTGTGAGGTCGTGGTACATACCCGGACGGGCCTGCCCATTCGTGCAACAGCCGAGGCTGTTGCGTGGCCCTACCACCGATTCATAATGCATGATGGTTACTTTAACATAGCTTTATGTTGCCACTTCTCTATACAGGTTTGGCTTTTCTTGTTTGTTTGTTTGTGAACCACAAGAGAAATAAACAAAATTGAGGTTGCCACAACTTTCGTTGTAAGAAGCAGATAACAGTGAAGAAGTTACTACCTACAAATAAAAATGTAAATCGGTATAGTGTGATAAATGCATGTTTGTAAGTATGTTCACAAGTCATTTTGTAAATAATTTTGTAAGCACATTTCATATAGGTCTCAATGTTTTCAACTATTTTGGAAAAATTGATGCAGAATATTTATAAACCTGGCGTTCTGTTTGCTCTATCGTCTAATATTTTCGAGGCGACTTATTGTTCGATAAACCTGCAGATTCTAAGAGAAAAACAGAATCACAAGAACATCGGCTTAAAACGCTTGCAAATTTAATGCACTGACCGTGCTCCAGTTTCCTTCAAACGCCTGTCCTTAGGTCCAGTTGACAATAGCGATCAAAGGTTATAAGCATTAAGCAAGCAACTGATGACGTTCCGATTTCAACAATTAATTGGAGCAAAATCCTCATTAGCTAAGGAGGCTTGTGTGACCGCAATTTAATTCGTAATTTGTGTGTTTGTCTTCTGATAGTTTGGCGGTCGATTGAATTGGCCGCTAATATGTTATTCCAGTCTTTTTTACGCCGTATTCATCACGCTAACTGCGCATCTGTAACACGTTTGTAACCGAGAGAGACTCATTTCCCTACATATCTCTATCTTCGCACGGATTAGTATATATATCCCTTTTTAAATTGCTACGTTAATATTGTAAATTGAAATCAAGGTAAGCCTTGAAAAAAATACCGTTACATTCGAAATGGTGGTGATACTCAAATGTTTACGTAGGCAACATTAGAAGAGTTTGATTTATGTGATATTTTACATACTATACACAATTTGATTACAAAATATTTTGTGAAAACTTTCGCCTTTCAAGTACAATATATTCACTTCATTCGCGAAAGAACACAGTTTCTTCTTACATTCGTACATCGCAATTCGTCATGCAAAATATCACAGTTAGTTTATACTTTCCCATATAACGATACTAGAGTTGTGCTTCATTTTTTCCATCTGTTTATTTTTAAAAAGGCTTTAATGTTTATAGATTATGCCAACCTCATTGTGTTAACAAGTTTAGAAAAAAAAAAACAACAATAATATAGGCTTCAGTTAAAATACTTCGTATATGTGCGGTACCGTCGCCTTGCATCGTTTCGCAATCCTTCTTTAATTGTTCTCAACGGTCACGATTCCTAATAACTAATTTATACTGTTACTTGAAATTACCAAGTTACTGTTCTAAGTAAGGTTTTTGTGCGTTCCGAACATTTTCATTTTAACTTTGACCTAAATGGCTTATTGTAAAGCAAACGATATTTTTTGATGTCAAGTTCGAGAAGCACTAGGTTAGACTGATTCTTCAATATTGGAAGTATTTTTTTAATAAGAAAGTGGCCAGTGCTTGATAGCTATACCATCTGTTACTCTCTGTATTATTAAATTTACAAACAAACATTTATAACCTTATATTACTATTATAACCTTTTCCCCAGCTAAAATGGATGTGAAATTAGCATTGCTAAATTAATGCAGAATAAAAACACACATAAGCAAATAAGTATTTACATCTGTTAGAAAGGAAAGTATTTATATAAGAGATGTCTGTTATGTCTATATCATGTGCAAGCTATTTTTTCTTAATTAATTAATTTAGAGTACTAGTCGTCGTCCGTGGCTTGGATTTCGTGAATCGATCGATTCCTCGTATCATCATCAGTGAGCTTAAAAGCGTTGAGCTACTTGAGTGTCTGCGAAAAAATCACCACACCAGTCTTCGACCTACAAACCTGTGCTATGAGTCTATAGTCTGAATTATGTTTAAAAACAGAGATTGTATACAAGATATTACTTTAACTAATTTATAGATTATTATTTAATAATAATTTCAACAAAAAGGTCACTAAATGTAGGGTTATAATGGTTCATAGAGATGATAGTTTCAACTAACTTCTTACGTAAAATTTTTTTACCATAACATTCCGAAACTTATGGAAAATCCGTTGATAACTATTCAGACAATATTCTATAAAATATACGACATGTATAAGTCATGTTTATGAATTCACTCCGATCTTTGACCCGACATCTTATAAATACGGTAAACGCTGATAAGAAACGGTCAAAATAAATCTGCAAAACAAAGTATTATTCGTTAATCGAGAGAGATTATTTACCAACGTATTTCACTAATTAAATACGGGCAAATATACAACATATCCCCCCACCTACTATCATGGTATGCAAAATCATTTAATAAATATTAATTATACACCTACATAAATACTTTTCTTTGGTGATAATCGCAGTGTTGAAATCTGTCAATTCCCTCATTAAATTTAACCTCACTAATTTAATTTAATGCGGCTTATATCCTAATTCATAATATACAGCGTGTCTTTACCATCGCGACGATAAATAAACACACATATAGAGGATAACTTTTTAAAATTATATTAAAAAATTACATTCTTTAAACATCAATATTTAACGAGTTATCAAATTTTACAAAACAAAGAATTTTAGAACACCCTTACGTATAAAACTTTAATGTAAAGGTCACAAAGCATATGAATGGGTTGAATGAATATAAAAGAGACAAAACATACTGTTAAAAGAAGAGGCTTGTAATGCGGCTCTGTGGCAACGAATGAAGAAGTCTCTGTATGTATGAATCAGTCAAATGTAGTTGTATATGATGTTACAAATTTTGTTCCTTTTTTACTTAATTAGTTTGTTTGAAAAATATTTTTTTTGATTATGGACTTTTTTAACGTTAATATGTTTTTATGATTATTGGCAAGTAGCGTTAGACGTGTGTTCATTTATTGCCGCGGTGGTAAAGACACGCTGTATACCTAATAACTAGCGGACTCTACAGACGTCATCAAAAGAGAAAAATAAAGTACCTATCACATTATATCAAGTAGAGAAAAAATAAAGCATAATGAAGAAAAATAAAGTATTTTTCAAAATTTTTTTTATTTCTCCTCTTGAAGATATATTTTTGTGTGCTTCTAGCACACATTCACAGTTTTTCACTATATCAACTCAAATTTTGGAAGCTATCTTTACAATTCCAATTTAAATAAAAAGTAGAGTAAATAGAATAATTATTAAGACAAACAAATTTTCTAACTTTTAAAGGATGGCCGCTTGCAAAACACAATAACGAAAATGCAATGTGTAAATTACGCTGTAATAATTCTCAACACTAAAATGTCGATTTAGTTTAATTGTGTAATACTTTTTTTAAAAGCGTACGTAATATTACCTACATTACGCTTTTAAATTTGTCTTAAATTAACCTGCCGGTATTACTGGGTTAGTTTGCTGGATTAATTCAAATTGAATTTAAAAACTTGTTGCGGATTTTCAAAGTTACGAATATAACATTTGGTTTAGGACGTACTTTTGTAGTTTTATAACCATATATACATAATAAATAATTATGAATACTCTTCCATTAGGTAATTCCATATAGGTGCTGGCAATGTTATTGAATCAAATTTATTTAGCGCCTACCGACACAAAATACAATGAAAGTATTTGCGTGGGTAATTAAATACCACCTGTAAAAACAGTTGCCAACTACCAAGGTTATTTAATAGCTAATTATCTTTTTTTATTGAAAGTTTATGTTCCTTTGATGAAAATGGTAAAAGTGTAGTGGTCGCGCGACGAAAATGCTCCAAATAATATTTATTTTAATAGAAAATGAAATGATAATAACCATCCCGTAACCTACCCACTGAAAATTCCGCTAAGCTTTCCAGACTTCAGTAGTAATGCGACGCAATTTAGACGTTGGCCTGGTTTACGTTATATCAAGAATATGCACAGATACGCAATTTTGTATTTAGCCGGGTTATCGCAAACCGCTCGAAGTGGCCTACGTGACTTGCGGCTCCCTAGCAATGGTGTCGTGGCGCCAACCAAATTACACTCTTATTGACTTTTTACTTCAGAATGGCATTAGGACTAAAAACGACTCAATTACAAATAAAATATCAATTTAACCTTAATTACCATACCTTAACCTAGAAATGTTGCGTAACTGTCTAAAAAAATACACGTGTTCTACTGTTCGGGTCAGCTGATTTTTGCAATACATACCCCAGGAATAACAGTAGCCGATGGAGAGCGTTATGTACGCCAGCAAACACTGTGCTTTCAACATTTTAACTCATCAACTCCGATACTTGTGTGTGAAATCTAAATGCACATTAGATCGAGGATTGGTGCGAGTTTCAGCCCAATGTCGGTCAGAGGGCGCGCGCCAACTACGTGCACACCGGCCGCGTGACAGACCGAAACTAATATCGGCTGTGCCCCAACTCCCCTAGAAGTAGCGGATAGCGTTCGCGATTAGCGATTACGGTCTATTGGCTTGGCTTGGCTCGCCCGATTCCCCGTAGGTCTGAGTTCGACGAATCTTATGAAGTCCATTGAAGACGCTCAAGATGGAGCGTTTTGTGAATGCACGCAGCACGCCGATAAACACGCTATCTTATCAGAACAACTACCTACACTCTGGGTATAATTTGGAAATCGCTAAATTTGGGTGGTTTTAGCCTTGGGCCACGATTATCGTACAATCAATCATCTAATTAGCGTTCACGTAACTGCATTTTTTATTTGGTACATTGATTAAGCACCCAATTTATCATTTATAGCACAACATATAATTGACAATATTTTTTCATAAAATGGAAATTAAAGTAATTTAACATTTTTTTACATGACTACGAAACCTTAAAATACAAAAGAAATGTGCACTGTTTCTATTTTTGCTGGCCGCATTCGAAATTACTTCTTTAAGTATCAAGTGGTCCCATTATTCGGTTTTCACTATTTAAATTCGCAAATGGAATGTTTTGATGCTAACTGACATCTATGAGTGCGGACACAATGAATTAAATATTAGTTTTTTGTTATGTTACTTTTAATAGGTACTTTTTAAATATATGGCGAGTGATAAAATGAAATGTACATTACAGATATAAGTAATATCATGGATTGCTTCTCAAATGTTTTAATACCTACTTTTATTTAGGAGACAGGTACCACGGTAAAAATATTAAAGAAATATTGCAAACATGTCTGTAATATTATACAGAAAAAGTCTAAGAGACGACTTTCAGGGCTGCTTTTAAATGAAAGAAATGATTGTTTTACTATCAAACATTCGAGTTATTTAATTTAAATTGATAAAACTTAATTAATATTTTATTATTGTAAAACAAGTCTCTGAATGACTTTAGTAACGCAAATGAAACCTGTGGACAGGGATAACTAATAGTTCATGAAAGCTCGAGTAGAAAGCTTTTAGCGAATATAATGCACATTGTAAGTGCAAGTAAACCGTAATTTCAAGATACATCTTGAAATTACGGTTTAGAATCTTATCTAGGTTGCAACCTAGATAAGATTCTGATTGAAGAGACGACGATAGCCAGGATATGTACGATATGAGTTTAAGATGTAAAATATTTCGAAGTTCCTTTACGACAGAGGTTATAGAGTTTGAACTTCGGCATTAGAAGATCCCGCATTTAATCGATCCGTTAAATAATACTAACATTTCTACATCAAAATAAAAGTCGATAAAAACCGGTAAATTAGTTTTATTAAACTAAGACGATATGTGACAAAGGAAAAAAACCTTTTTATGAATTTCTGTGATTTTTAACACAAATTTCAAGTTTATTCAAAAATTACCTTTTACATTGAATCATGCCCAATTTTTAAAAGGTTGTCAACTCATCTGAAACCCTCTCGTGTAACAGATGTCCATGGGCGGCGGTATTCACTTAACATCAGGTGAACAATCTGCACGCTTGGAAACTTTTCACATAAAAATAAACATCGAATCATCATCATCATCCTCCTGCCCTTATCCAATCTAGGTGGGGTAGGCACAACATGTGAATCATGTTATAAGTGGTTTTAAAAATATTTTACGACCGGCCGCCTGCCTGACGTCAACCCTGATGCGGAACTAGTTGTTCTGTGGATCGCACAAGTACTTGTCCCGTGTGGGAATCGAACCCACGACCCCCGAAGTCAATAGTCTAGCCAAGACACCACCAAGTCATTGCTTTTACTTCGAATATTACATAGAATACTCATTATCTAAAAAAAATACTCCATTTAAAAAAAAATATTTAAATACGTCTTTTGTCAGACGTTTGTATTTAATGACAAATCGTTTATTCATTTAAACGGATGTGACCATTTTTTTTAATGCGAAAAGTTGCCAAACGAACAGACGGTCCACCTGATGCAAGGTGAATACCGCCGCCCATGGACATCTGCTATACCCGAGGGTTACAGATGCGTTGACAAACTTTTGAAAATTGGGCATAATGTTATATAATTAATTATATATATAACGATTCCTGATGTCGAGAATTTTTAAACTGCAAAGTGAATTGCAGAGTATGCATTATTATTCCCGATGAGCCGAATGGCGTTGTGGGTAGTGTACTTGCGTTCTGCGCCAGATTGTGTGGGTTCGATACCCACTACTGGAAAAATATTGTGGGATGAACATAGTGTTTTTCTGTGTCTGGGTGTTTATATATGTATAATATGTATTTATTTCCAAAAGAAAATATAACTATGTATGTTTATTAGTTATCTAGTACCCATAGTACAAGCGTTGCTTAGTTTGGGACAAGAATACGTTGTGTAAAAATGTGTCCTAAACATTTATGTATATTCAACCATCTTTATATATATAATTATTCTGTTTGTGTTCATGGCACTGACCTCCTCCTAAATGACTGGACCGATTTTAATGAAATTATTTGTGTGTTCAGGTGGATTCGAGAAAGATTTAGATTCACAAAGTAATTCAAAAAAGTTCGACATTTTCGAATTTAAGACGTGTGTACAGGACAACGTCTGTCCGGTCCGCTAGTTTTATATAATATATACTTTAGGTTTACAGATAATCGTAACTACTATCGCCTAGTTACTTTTTTTATTTCGTAAAATGCTCTCATAAACCAGACCATTGTCAAATAGTTTCATAAGAAACGCGACTTAATAAAACGGAGTAACAGTTTAAATAAATAATGAAAATTTACCCATTGCGTTCTTTTCCTTTAAAATGTAAGTTACAATTAACTGCAATTTTTTTCTATTCAATTCATAGGTAAGTAAGTAAGGTAAGTATTTTTCATGGCCACTAAAGTAAGGAAACGACAAGTGTCGTGGTGTAATCTCATGAATTTAAAATGAATATCTTTGCGCTGTAAAGGATGTATAAAACTTAAATACGTATTTACAAAACGGAAACATAACATAGACAATACCAACTTTACTTCTAGCATCATGTGATGATCTAGTTGCTGACGACACGTCTACTCGCAAAATTTCGGTCGCGTAGTCGAATACTGAGCGCTTTTTTTAAGTATTTGGCCAACTTGTTAATGGCAACTGAGCAAGTGGTTCCCCTGATGGTAAATGAACACAGGTGGGCAACAACTGATATGGTCTGCCTTCAATTATCTCAACCCCCGGATAAAATGCAACAGAATAAATAGAAAAACTTTACCCTAATGTTGGTCTCTTGTTGGGTGGAGGCTATTAATTTTCAGTCCAGCTTGCCGATTTCTGAAGCAGGAGCTTTGTAAGCTGTTGTTGCTGTATCACATTGGAAAGGAAAGGAAAGGATTATATGGCGAAATAAGTCTTTTTTTATGTGAGAAGGTGGCAAGCTAGCGGGCGGTTTACCGTATGCTGTGCTAGTATATGTATGTGACCCTCATATAATTATGGATGCGTTTTGTATTGTTAAGTTATTAGATTTATGTAATAGGTTGGTCAGAAAGTATTTCCGGGTTTTTGGTGGTTTTCTTGGTTTTGTGCCAAAAGTGGGCTGCACCTACCTCACTCACCAATTTGGGTGCCAATGCACCTGCAACCCCACGAGTGTTGCAAATGCCAATTGGCGGCAGTTATTGCTTAACGTCAGGTGAACCGCCAACTCGCTTTGCCACCGTTTCACATAAAAAAAATCAGCAGAACCCACCGCCCCTCTTCATTGGGCCTTAGATGAGCTAAGAGGTGAGCCAGTAGAACGCGCAGCTCCTCTAATTTTAGCTTTAGATGAGCTAAGAAGGGAGATACGATGTCTCCTACTGCACCCGGCTGCTGTGGGAGACATGTCTCGCTGCGTTCAGTGCAGTGGACAATCTGGGCCCATACCCTGATCGCCTGTCGAAATGTCGTTTTAGTTGCCTTATTTGACAGACAGAGGATACGTCAGACTATTATGTATACCACGAAAGGTCAAGAAATGAGGGAACAATTATTATTTTCGAACGTTAATGTGAGAAATACCCGCATTACAACATATTTTATGTTACATTGGTATATATAATATGTAAATCTCGCTTGCCATGAAACTAGCACTAAAATTTGATTTTGAATACCGTTTTGGTAAACGTTATTTATATTATTAATCTAATCTGTATTTATCAAATACACAACACGCCGAATACATGTATAAGATATGTAAATACATAATTTGAATTGATAATATTTTTTATCGGCTATGGTATTATTGTTTAAACGCTAAAGGTGATAGACGAGTATTTGTTTAGCGCCAACAATAGATATCCACAACACTCATGGGATATCAGGTGCGTTGCCAATCTTCTAGAATCTTCCCCGTCTATCTCCCGAAAATAACTCCAAAAGTATGTCAAATTACTTTTACTTAGGCTGGTCTTTTGTAAGACCTTAGTATTTCCCTCAATGAACGGACCTTTACTGAGAAACAACAGAAGCTTTTGCGTACAAAGTAGGTACACATATAATCACCACTTATAATATACATTTACCATTTCTTAACGTGCATATACACTACAGACAAATCTTTTAAATATTTTAGAAATACCTACGCTGTTATCGTAACCAACAAATAACATGTATCAAATAGATTATATTCTCGACTTACATTCATAGAACAAGGTTTAGATATTTGTAACAACCCGGACTTCCGGTCAATAACAACTTGTCATTGTACCCGTTCATATGTTAACCTACTTCCTGTGAAGTGTTAAGTTGTGTTGCTTATCGGGTTCACTTTGAAATTTTAATATTTTACTATGAAGCAAATGTTTCGTCATCTTATTAATGATTTTTTGATCGGTAAATAAATAATCA